CACACACACACACACACACACACACACACACACACACACACACACACACACACACATACACACACGCGCACACACACACGTACGCGCGCACACATAGACATACACACGCTCGCACGCAACGCATATCCAAGTACGTGCGCACCAAACATAATATATACTGCCAAAATGTGAATAAAGACCAAACGTATCGTTTGTTTTTTATGCATAGATAGATTATTGTACGTATTATGTGAGTAACAGCAATGGGCAACAGGCGACATTCAAACACTAAGCGCAATCATTTGGTTTCTCAATTGTTACTGCATATCGCCTTTTAGTTCTGTTTGTACTAGCATGCATGAGTACATGGATTAATATTACTCTCATCCCTATTTATTTAGCCCTGCTATTAGAATTAATATCCGTATTACTTATGACTGTTTCGTAGCATGATATACGCGAGAATCTACTGTATACGTAACGTGTGAATCTAGCCCCGTGGCCTATCTTGCATGTTATAGGTATGTGTTTATCGGTAACGATTATTGTGATACAAAGTACATTTCATTATATGTTGCACGAAGCTTTGAAGGGGGAATCGAAACACGGAAAATATAGACAATGTATATGAAGTTCTGTTGTTTGTCTATTCTATGAATAAGTGAGTAGAATAAATATTTAGTCCTAAACAAACTCTATATTCAAAAAAAAATAATTTGGTTTTCGAGAGTGATTGTTGGATATTACCATCATTACTTCTATGTATTACGAATAAATAATTACTATGCTAACGAATGGGATAGTATTATTAATGTACAAATTTAGTGGAAGACTCACCAATGTGATTAATCCAATATCTGAAAACAAACTTTCATGAAGTTTGTTTATGTTCAAGAAATTGTAGTTTATTTGTATGTGTACAGGCTGTTAGTATAATAAAGATGTATTTAATGTCTGAATAAATGCCACTAGGGAATGCCTTACTGGTAACTCGTTTATTAATAATGCTAACTTGAGTATATGTGGGCGAGTGGACAGTATATGATGGAACGGACATACAGGAAGACCAGTGGAAATTCAAGCGCACGTGATTGTTAGTAAATATGTGCATTTCAGTTTATACACAATTTATTCACGAGATTGATTTACTTGCCGGTACTATTACCAGTCATCGGGAGGGGAATATAGTTGCACACGCATATGATACCCATCAACGAGAAGAGTTAGTACAGCAGCATATACCAAGGAAGTTGCTGCCATGTAACATTTGCTTGTTGGCTACAATTCCCGCGTGTAAAGAATTTATTTCTTGCGATACATAAGGTTGCATCAAATCTGTGACGTCCGAAAACTAGGCAAGTAAAATCACAATAAATTTAACTGGAGTAAATGTAAATCGGCTAAGAAACTCTTAAAAACACAGTCAATACGTTTTTAAAGGCGCGATACGATTTACTGAGGAAATAAAAAAACGCAGAAATTGATCCACAGTAGGATTCTATGTTTTCACCGCAAAATGAAAAGGGTACTCATATCATTCTTTACTTGCATATCATAATCGCATTTATGTATGCTCAACAACGTGCATATACATGATTCAGCTCTCAGGAGATGGATTGCATTGCTGAAAAGCCCCCTAAGAGTATGCGTAATGGAATCGTAAAGGTTTGGTAAGATATGTAAACAAATGATAACAGTCTCCAGGGATGGCGCAGACATTACGGACCGTAGACATGCACGTCCTATCATTAAATATTCTCCGTTGTTGCTACACATCAGAAATCTTGACGGCAGCAATAAAACGTTTCATTGCTCTCTCTACACACACATGAACAAAATCTCGCATAAAAACATCGATTCAGGCTTTATTATTACGAAAGTGGAGAGCTTGTGAATTCACGCGTGCAGTTTCTAAAATTGTACGTCCGAATGATTGGAACGAAGATTGTAATTTGTAATTCGTAATATTGAGCGTTAATTAAAAACTTTCTTTCTAATTGAGAACATAACGATTACACATGCCTGACATTATTGTAGTTTTCTCCTTTCTCATTATCATGACTGATGAGCAGTGCAGCGCAGATTACCCTGCAGTATTTAAATTATGAAATGGGGAAAATTATTTTCAACTTCTTATATACGTTGGCTACAGAAATAATTAAGATGACATGTTAACTCTCCCAAATTCTTACAGCCTGCCATGGTGATCAGAGATAAATTAATTGATGAATTGATAGGTGTGGATGGGCAGATAGATGGGTGGATATGGATCAATAGTACTTAATGGGAGAGTCCATCTCCCATTATGTACTCTTGATATGGATGGATGGATGGATGGATGGATGGATGGATGGATGGATGGATGGATGGATGGATGGATGGATGGATGGATGG